TTGTTACAAATGGCGCTGAAACGCATTATGGTACACGACTCGTGTACCAATGGTAAAATGTTTATTTTGTCTTAAATATCGGATATCAGAAGCCCATCTCTTCGCGGTTAAATCACCACTTCAATGTTGATTTAAATTGACAAAGAATTCGTGTTTTCAATGTCGAAGACTTTGGATGATATTGAATTAGAGACGAGCTACTTTAATGTCGAGTATAATGCTGCAAATAGAACGGAAGTGAGGCAGTGGCAAAATTCATCATTTGAAAAGAAACTACGAATATGACATTATCGGACACTAGGGATCTTGTGGACCCCCCACCCTTTCCTTTCAACATTTTGCTGCAGTTACAAATGTCTAATCTATTCTGTGTTCGGTGCTAGCTTCGTATTTGGAATCTTTCTTACTGGTGTTATTTTGTTGGTCATTCTAGAAATCTAGATCTGAAAACAAATCTAGGTACACTACCAACCTCATAAAAAGACGATTCTGCATGGAAATGACAATTAAGTTATTTGTAGATTTGTATGGTTTCAAAAATACCCTATAATTCATATCGTCACTGTTAATACCTCAAATATTTTTTTACTTTGATTGATTATTATTCAGTCTTTATATGAAGCTGTAGTTTGATCGTATTTGAATAAAATTATGCATCCAAAAACCAATTTATGTCTGGGGTCTTAGATTACCCCTTATTGTCGACAATGTTTTTCGTGCGACGTGTCCGCACAAGTGTAAGATTGTGATAAAGAGCTGGTCGTTCTTGCTATAATAGTTCATAAATAGATAATGAAAAATGAATATGTTGAAAATTTCAGTCAAACTACTTTATTGTGGGCCGAGATGTAGCGTAGATCGTTTCATATCGTATAAGGAACGGTACTTGACAACAAACACTAAGCTTCGATTATCCAGTCTATCGTTAACGTGTTAAATTTTGCGGATTTTCAAATCCATTTCTATCTCGGCCATCCGATGGCCCGGAGACTTGATTATAGGCTTGTCATGTGAATAAATGTCTAAATAATTATTTAACACTTGAAGCCAATTTAAGAAAGACCTGTAATAGGCAGATTTAGCTTTTACACAATGCATCTTTTTAGTGGTAGTGGTTTTTATCTATATCGTTTCGTGTGCAATGCTAAATTGTGAAATTAAGACATAATTAATTTAAGCAACGACGAACGAAGGTATGAACCATCTTATCAAAACCCCGTATTCTCGAAGCAATGGTGACGAATATTATTAGTTTATTAATAAACTGTCAACCATTGCCTTGGGAATATGTAAAGCCCTGGTTAATCAGTATTTTCTGTCATGTATTAATTATTGCGTCCCTTATTTGTGACGGGTCTGGATTAGTTATTTCCCAACTTGACTATGCAAATGCTCTTCTAGCTGGAGCACCTAAATTCTCTCTGGATAGGTTGCAAGTTGCACAAAACAATGCTGCTAGACTAATGACTAAAACACCGAGACGTGAACACATCAGTGACAAACTAAAGGAATTACATTGGCTGCCAGTTAGATTGCGAATTGAATATAAAATCCTAACGACTGTATATAAAAGTCTCTTCTCTATATCCGCTCCCAGCTATATGAAACAGATGTTTACACTGTATAGTGATGTACAGATACGCCGCAACCTCAGATCCTCGAATGATAAAACATTACTATCTGCACCGAAATATAATAATAAGCTACGTGGAAAATATTCTTTCCCTGTTAATGGTGCAATTCTCTGGAATTATCTTCCAAAAGAATCCGGGAATTACCCTCATTTACAGAATTTAAATCTGTTTTAAAAACTTATCTTTTTAATAAGGTGTGATCATAAATATACACTAGAGATACTTTCCACATAATATACAATGTGGCTGAAGCTGAACAGCGCTTAGAAATGACCATTGGACACAGGGGCGGATGGGGGCCGGAAACCGGCCCGGGCTCCCGTGTCGGAGCAGCCCCTGTTTACAGACCGCGGAGCCCGGACGGGGGGTCCGAGGGCTTTCCGCCGGGAAAATTTTGAAAAATGAACCCCAAATATGCGATTTAGTGGCATATCTGATTATAATCTCTGTCAAATAATATATCTCATAAATCGATTAATTTAGGCCAAAACCCCGACCTGCAAGTAATTTACAACCATCAACCTGTGAAATCATCATAACGTCATATTATGCAGGATTCCGAATTCCGGCCCACACCCAGCACACCCGACCCAGAAAGTCTATTATACCAGCCCATTCCAGACTCCAGTGATGGCATGCCCTTAAAGCCACCGGCCACATACAACATGATCATCATCGCTCCATGGCCGGTCCAATACCCCCCCCCCCCCCATATAATGTTCAGCAGAAAAAGTTTTTTTTAGACGAATTGGACAAAATTATTTTTTTCAGTTTTTTGTCCAACCGGCCCTTCTGGCGATCGCCCGATCCCCCGATGGCCCAATTCGCCCCTGATTGGACATAATGTAGCGCTATATAAGGCAATTATTATTATTATATTAGTCTACCGACGCTGAATACAAGATGACGAGGATTCATCTAATAACCAATCAAAATGCACGGATCACGCAAATTACAATTTACGGTCAGAGCTGTCATGAGGCCAAGAACCAACAAAAATCATTCATTCTATTGAATAGCTTTTTCGCCTTGGTTCTGTAAAGGGGTGTGAGAGGGGACCAGGACGCGGGCAGTGGGGGGGGGGGTACCTTGAAAGAAATTTCGTCGTCAGTAATATTTCCAATATTTTAAAATTGCTTCTTGAAAATGATAATTCCTCTTTAAATCTTTCAAAAATGTTATTCATCCTGCCGAAATTTACCAACGCAGTTGCAGTACCGTACGCGTGTCGCAGTTGCTTAATAATATGAAATGACATGCTTGATATTTTGACGATGTATTATTCAGTTAGAGCCACCGTGGTTCCCTTGATATTATGACGGTGTTTTATTCAGTTAGAGCCGCAATCTGGTTAAAACACAGATCCTATTTCGTTTCGTTTTTATAGTTCAAAATTTCGTTTTACTTGTCTAATTTTGAACTATAAAAAACGAAACGAAATAGGATCTGTGTTTTAATCGGAAGTATAAAAAAACGAAACGAAATATAGATCTGTATTTTAATCAGATTGTTAGAGTCGCGGTGACGATGCATTATTCATGTGACGAAATGAAATGAAATGAAATGAAATGGGGTTTAACTTCCTACTGTTTTACCCCGAACTGGGCTAATGAAGACGGGCATACGCCTTACAGTGTGCAATGAGGGAAATTTTGCCCGGACAGCGGCACTACGGCTACTCTTATATCGAATTCCAACTTTCAAGGGATCTTTTACGTGCACGCCAATGTGTACACGGGACCTCGGGTTTTCGTATCATCCGAATGACTAGACAGTTGTCCTTGTCAGGCCCTCTGTCCTGCATCACTGACAAGGGGGAACCACGTTATTCATGTGACGCGTTTATGCCAGGATTCCGTGGACATAGACCTAATATATAAACTCTATAGCTAGCTGAACAAAAAACTAAAACTGGAACATAAAAAGTCTCAATGGTAGACATAATATAACATAAAAGCTAGGCAAACCAATCAATGACCTTGTTGTCATTCTATGGACGTGTCTTAACCACCAAGTCGTTGGCCCATTGGTCACGAAGCTAAAATAATCTGATATTGTCACAAGAAACAGAAAAGTGTGCATGGAATATTTTTTTGTATTTAAAACAATGGTTTTGTTAAAGAGAGCAACATTTAATCCTAATCTTTTTTGCTGTCCAAAAGAATCCATTTCAAACTCTTGTGTATTGCCCGCAAATGTTAAAACAGCCACAGAATATCTTTGCTCGATACTTTCTAAATATATCCCAAACGCACTTTAAGATCACAATATTAATCCCGTTTGACGGTACCGAGTTATAGACTTAAATCGATTGGAGTTTCTCTTTAAGCAGTTTTAACTCTTTGGGAAATTTTGCCCGTGCGGCAGCATTAAGTAAGTAAGACGCTGGTTCGCTAGCCTGGAGGTCGGGTGTTTGACCCCTGCATTGGCCGAGAAAGTTCATCCAGATTTTCCGGCGTGGTTCCGCCTTGTCAGTGTTGCAGGACGGAGGGCCTGACAAAGACAGCTGTCTAGTCGTTCGGATTGGACAAAAAGTCGAGGGCTCGTGTACACATTAGCGTGCGCGTAAAAGATCCCTTGACATTTGGAATTCGATATAAGAGTAGGTCGCAGTGCCGCTGTCCGGGCAAAATTTCCTTTACAGCACACTGTATGGCGTATGCCCGTCTTCATTAGCCCAGTTCGGAGCAGAACTGTAGGATGTTAAACCCCATTTCATTTCATTTCTTACATACTAAAATCAATTAATTCTTCTTTTTTTTCAGAAATGATCTTCTGACACGAAAAAAAACCCCTATAATATGAATAGTGGATATTGTGTCAAGTACTTCTAACTTCGCCGAAACCTTTTCAGTTTAGACGAAACAACAGCACACCACGACTATTGCAACGAATAGTGAAGATCGTGTGCAGTACTTGTAACTTTGCCGAAACGTTTTTAGTCTAGAAGAAACAAGAGCATACCATCACCCCTCCTAAGCTGTGTTGTTTGCTTTTTATCTAACACCAGAGTAAAGACGATGTGACAGATGTTAAAACTATTGAGAAACATTATAAAGAAACGGATATTTATTGCTGACCAACGGATTTGTAAAATATTAAATTGGTTCACAGAAGGATATCAAAGGATAAATCTTAAAAAAGTAACATTTTGATTTTGTTTTAAAACAACACGTTACCATAGAAACACAGATAATAACCAGAACAGCCACGTGTGTTAACTAAAACAGCGACAATATAATAAGTAGAACTTTCAGGTGTAATAACGAGGATTGTTGACCCAAACATCCATTTGGAATAATTAAGAACACTTTGACGTGTAATAACTAGAACACCCACGTATAGTGTAACTATAGTGTAATAACTAGAAAATAGTCCAGTGTATTAACTGTAACAGTTTGACGTGTATCAAATACAACAGCCGAGTGTATTAACTACAACAGCCGAGTGTATTAACTACAACAGCCAAGTATAATAACTACAACAGCCGTGTGTAATAACTAAATCAGCCACGTGTAATAAACAGAATGGGTGCCGCAAATAGTCATAAAAATACTGCAGGTAAGTAATATGCTAACTCTTACTGGAAGAAAGATGACGTGTTGTTTAAAGTTCTATCCCTAGTTTCACTTAGTATAAGAAGGCAGCCTAGTTTCACTTGGTACAAGAAGGCAGCCGAATCCATTATAATTTGAACAATATTCACGTGTGTGAAATGTCTAATCCATCAAAATAATTAGGATATTAAAAAACATAATTGTTTCCACGTTCTAAAAGACGAATGGAACTTACATTACCCCCCCCCCCCCTACCCCCCCACCCCACCCCGCCTTAATGAGTGGAATAAATGAGTCTCATTTTATCGTCTGTTGTACGGAATGTTATATCTACCAATCGCGCTGCGTGGTTCAGTGAGTAAGCCACTGGCTTGGAATTTCCTCGCGGTTTTGCAGAGAGGACCCCTCTTGTCAATGGTGCAGAATGGAGGACCTGGCAAGGACAGCTATCTAGTCGGTCGGATTGGACAAAAAGCCAAGCACCAGTTTGAATTCGATATAAGAGAAGGCCGTAGTGCCACTGTCGATAAATATAAAATGTCCTGGCCTGTTTTAGTTTATTCCCGAAGATATCAACAGGGTTGGGTGGTACTTGTAAGAAGTCCTGGTAGAGAGAGAGAGAGAGAGAGAGAGAGAGAAAGAGAGAGAGATGGGTTAGGTCATTTTTCAGGACTAACGTATGGACCCGGAGAAAACGCACGAGGCTGGACAGGCCACCCCACTCCTTGTCACGTACAACCGGGGAATCGATACCTCGTCAGTTGACTCAATGACAGACCTTATTATACAACGCGCACGCCTAACCATTCGGCCATCCATTCCCGCAAACCCGCGGACAAAACAAACTACACAAACAATGCAAACAAATATAAATTTAAGTGCATAGATCCAGGGGCCAACCGTAAGCGACCACAGTCTTGGGCCTGTATTATTAATTAAAACAAGCTTCATTCAAAATACTAACAAGGCCAGCTGTCTAGTTGTTCGGATGAGACGAAAGACCGAGGTCCCGTGTACACATTGACGTGCACGTAAAAGATCCCTTGACAGTTGGAATTCGATACAAGAGTAGGCCGTAGTGTCGCTGTCCGGGCACAATTTCCCTGTATGGCGTGTGCCCTTCTTCATTAGCCCAGTTCGGAGCAGAATAGTAGGACATTAAACCCCATTTCATTTCATTTCAGTTCACTCAATATATAAAAAAAAATGATATACATGTATGCCGGTCTCCATTATCCCGGTTGATGCAGTACAGAAGGACGTTAAACCCTGTTTCGTTACATTTCTATTTTATGGTCTATTTTGAATAAACACCCAATTAATCAATGGGCTGTTACAATTCCAACACCTTGGCTTGAATTTATCCTAAATTTGACAATATAAATATTTACCTGCTTCTCTCCCCTGAATGATCAAACAATGCCACAGGGTAAATTGAATTAAGATATCGAATTATGCGGTTTTTTATTTGAAATTTAAAAATTCGTGAAATTCTGCATTGGAAGGAACAGAGTGAGCTAGCTAAGTGTTTAGATGCAGTGTAATAATTTGGGGGTAAATTTTCCAGTGTTTGAGTTGATATGAAATTTGGCAATAAAATTGTTGACTCATTTTTAACAAAAAAATTGTTTGATTGTCACTAAATTTCCTGTCGATGAAGATTTGGAACAGCAGATGTTCATGATGTCGGCCAAAGAAATTTGACACAATTTTAAGAATATTTTCTTAAAATTCCAGCAAAAAAGTCATTGAATAAAATCAGGTGGGAAAATATGTGGTTACAATTCCCGCCAATACTTAACAACGTGTATGTTTTTAAGACTAACATATACTTTATTCTCGGGTTTTCCGCCAAATCTGGTTATGGTTAGGAATCAGAGAGAGAGAGAGAGAGAGGGGGGGGGGGTAACGTCCACTCGACACAAACTAGGTCATTTCGGGACTAACATATAGTTCAATTTTTATTTCAATAATTCGCTTGCGTGTATGGGTCTTTAGCAGTGGGGAAGCTCGCCATGTGAATTACATTAAAAATTATTGCGATATTTAATAAGATAATTTCCGGGTATCAATTTACGATAGGAATATTTTCATCTCCTTTCCCAAAACGCAAGGGAGTAATGTATAGAACCCTCGAAACGTGTTTGAAAATGATTTGATCGTGTAGGGAGAAACCATGGACAGTTTATTGAGTACTTCAAACTCTGAAGGATTTGAGTTGCTGATCATTTCAAAATGTTTAAAATGGCTGCACGACATCTCAAATCACGCTAAAGCCATTGACATACTTGGTGGATTTATTCGTTCGTCTCGGTGACTGTCGGAAATAAAAAAAAACCTAAAAAAAGAAACGGAGAAACAGAATATGCCAATGTGAGCCTGTCCACGTTTTGTGAGAATCTCTAGAATTAAATATATAAAAGCTCTTGGAAATATTGCAAAACAAAAAAGGCACAGCACGCATTACAATTTTATAAATTCTCAAGCCGTTTTTCATTGACTCAATGACAGACCTTATGATACAACCCCACCTGCGAGAGAGTAACTAACTATGTTAGTAAAGTTGACTAAGTGGACAGTAAATCTGTTAGTTTTATTGGTTGAAGTAGTTGGAATGTTGAAGAGCGGTTGGTGAAATGGTAGAAATGTAACTACACTGACCCGTATAAAAATATAGAGATTCAGGGCAGGTTTACACTGTACGCCTTCGAATGGCGCGAACCTTTTGAATACCCCCTGTCCACTATAAATAAGGAGATTCAAGGCAGGTCCACACTGTACGTTTTACAGATTTGTCAATCCACGGAGAAATAAGCCATTAAAGTTGAGTGGTACGCTACACACGCATACACATTCCGAAATGAATAGAATTTGAAAGGCTTTCGCTTCTAAAACATGTACTGCTGTCAAAATTGTGGGGTTTGTTTTCTCATATACTGGCGATCGAAAAATTAGCACCCGTCGTCAAATAAAGTATCAGTCGAGCAAATGGGAATTCGATCGATTTGATCCGAATTTAACTCGATTGATTTAAAAATCGATGAAGTAACATACTTGAAATAATGACAACGAATGAAGATGTTTGCTATATGTTGATTTTAGAATGATCTTAGCATTCGATAAACCCTGCGTTTACCTTTCAACAAGCGCCATCTAACAAGCCCGGTCTTTGTCTTGGCCAGGAGTAGAAGGGAATGCCTGGTAAACCCCTTAACCAAATCATAAATTAAAAAACAATTACTATTATTATATTATTATTATAACATAATTTATACAGAGCAGATTCTGTGTTCAAATACACCCGATACAGATTCGCGAACGTTACATCGAATATTATATAGAGAGTTGCAGCGAACATTGCATCGACTATTTGTATCGAACATTGCACTGAACATTATATCGAACATTGCACTGAACATTATATTGAACATTATATCGAACATTGCACTGAACATTATATCGAACATTTATATCTTATATGATACATCGAACATTAGTTAAATCGACATCGGATAATATATTATCGAACATTACGTTAAATATTACATCGAACATTACATCGAGTCAACCAGCAATTACATAGAATATTATATCGAACATTACGCCAATCTTGAAATCGAACACTCTATCGAACATTACGGTTAACATTCTATCGAGCATTATATTTTAATAATTGGCTTGCGAATAGGGGTCTTTAGCAATGCGAGGAAACCGGGTGACCCACGAGTTTAATCCTTGTCACGTACAAGCAGCGAATCGAACATACACCACTTGACCAATAACAGATCTTCTGATCCAACGCGCACACAGTCGACGATAGACGGATCATTGAGAGTTGATCTTTGATATTGTTGATCATTTATTATATTGTGGTTCAACTGGGGGTCAAACATGGCAGGATCTTTGAAAGTTGATCATTGACAATACCGTGGTTCAGTCGGGCGTCGAATATAGAATGATCTTTGAATGTTGATCATTGAATATACCGTGTTTCATTTGGGGGTTGAATATAGCAGGATCTTTGAAAGTTAATCATTGACTATAGCGTGGTTCACCCCAGGTTATACCCTATTTGTATCGTTTTTCAGGTTTTGTTGAACTGCAGAAGGATCAATAAATTTCCCCATTTGTCATCGGATGTTAAACTAACTCTCATGTTTGATTTAAACACGGTTTACATTTTACTTGAAGATTAAAACACGAGATGAAATCTGATTGTAAACAAGTACTAGAACTAGGGGGGAGGAAGAGGAGATTAATTAATGATACAAAGAATTTATTCTCCCTCCATGTAAACTTTCTCGCCTAGTTTTATAGCAATCTAACCGTGTACCATTTCCTTTGAAGTATTTTTTTGTGTGTGTCTTAATCATAAGTTTGGCTAGTTATTGTAAAAGTTACGTAAATGTTTTATTTCTATCTCGATTAAAGAGAGAGAGAGAGAGAGAGAGAGAGTAACGTCAGATTTCGGAACTAACATATAGTTCAAATTTATCTCTACAATTCGCTTACGCGTAGGGATCTTTAGTAGTGGGGGGAAACCGAAGGAGCTAGAGAAAACCCACGAGGTTGTACAGGGTCCCTACTCCTTGTCGCGTACAACCGGGGAATGGAAACCACGCTAGTTGACTCAATGACAGACCTATATTGATTACGCCCCCCCCCCCCCTCCGCACCATTAAACACAGCTTCCGTATCCTACCGCTTTGTAAATATAAAATTATTTATAAATATATATATAAATGAAATTGGGTTTAACGTCCTACTTTTCCTGCAAGAACTGAGCTAATGAAGTCGGACATACGCCATGCGCTATTGCCTACTCTTAGGCGACTTTCAACATTCAAGGGTTCTTTTACGTGCACGCCAATGTATACATGAAATGAAAAACTGAGGTCCCGTGTTGATCTTGCTTTGCACGTCAAATAACTCTTGACAGAGAGAGAGAGAGAGAGAGAGAGAGGGAGGGGGAGAGGGAGGGAGAGTGGGGGTGTAAAGTCCTCTTGACACAAACTAGGTCATATGGTTCAATTTTATTTCAATAATTCGCTTGCGCGTAGGGGTCTTTAGCAGTGAGAGGTAACCGGGGGACACGGAGAAAACCCACTAGGTTGGACAGGCGACCCTACTCATTGTCACGTACAACCGGGGAATCGAAACCATGCCAGGAACCAATGATAGACCTTACGATACAACGCGCACGCGCTAACCAGTCGGCCATCCAACCCCCCAACTCTTAACAGTGGAGGGTATTCGATTTAATGTTCGTATGATAATATTTAGTCACGGTATAATAAGCTACTAGTATTTCGATTTATGATAATGGTATTGCTTTTTTTGTAGATGAGGAAGATGATAATCATGGCATCGCCTTCATGTTGCCAATACCTGAATGGGATTTACTTAAAATCAAAGAAGATTCAACATTCTCCGCTCATAATCGAAATAAACATCAGGCAGATCGTCGTACTATCAGGAGATCTACAATTGGTGATGTCCCACGTTGCCTCTATGCCAGAGAAGCAGGGTATTTAGGACAACCCAGTCAACATCTTCCTGGATTTCAGAGATACGTTGATTCAGCTGAAGAAGAACAATTGATAGAAGAAAGGATTTCATGTCATGGTAAAGTATTTATATAGTATGGGCAGGCAGACAGAAATAGGGTTTAACGTCCACTCGACACAAACTAGGTCATTTCGGAACTAACATAAGGTTTAATTTTATTTCAATAATTCAGCAGTTGGAGGAAAACGAGTGACCCGGAGAAATTCACGCGGTTGGACAGGCGACCCCAATCCTTGTCACATACAAGCGGGGAATCGAAACCACTTCACTCCACGGACCTTAAGATCTAGCACGCACGCGGTACCCTCCCCCCCCCCCGCTACCTAGTATGGTAAATAGTTTATGGGCGTTACATATAGGCTTATCCAGGATGTCACTGGAGCAAGCTCATTCACCACAAGTTTGATCCCTGTGTTGGCCGAGAAATTTTCTCTTTAATTTTCAATGTGATTTCCACTCGACATTGGTGTAGGACGGGGGTGGGGGGGGCTGGCAAGGAACATCGTGTAGTCATTCGGGTGGTACGGAAAACAAGGTCTGGTATACACGTTGGCCTATTCGATGAATAATTGTACGAACCGACGATGCCTGGGCAAAATTTCCTTCAAAGCACACTTTATGACGTATGCTGGTCGTCATTAGCCTCGTAAGTGTATAGCAATACCGACCGTTAAACCATATTTCATTTCATTTCCCGTATCCCATTTACTTACCGGAAATGAATTTTAAAAAACAAACAAACAGAATGTTGCCGTGTCGTTAGAGTTGGTGTTACGGCTAGGGTTAAAAACCGCATCAAATCGCTTGTATATTCTTTATATTTTCAGGAGTGTATTGTCCTGATTATGTAGAGAGACACATTTACATCAAAGACACACACGCTATTAGAACGGTGAATTCAAAACAAACCGATAAACTGAACACATTGAAACCAGGGCGTTACAACGTGAAGAATCGATATGGCGTTGACAGGAGCAACTCCTTGGATTCGAGACACAATCAGAAATACTTCCGACATAACAATAAACAAATTAAACCTAAGTGCGTTTCGAACAATTGTCACAAATCAATTAAGAAAACGGCGAATATGAGTGATCAAGTCCCACCACTTGGAATTTGCATTTGCTTTTTGGAAGACGACAATGAGTTGTTCTGTGCAAGCCAACAAAGTTTCGATTCTGGACTGAATTCAAGTGACGAGAGCTTACATCCCAATAGTGGTAACACCAGTCCACGTTCTGGTTGCCAAAACAACCGGTACCATGGTAACACGAACCAGCTGTTTATTACAGATCGTAGTGAAATATTTGAATCGAGCCAAGCTAGTGTTGAATCTTTAGTCGGGAGTATGAATGACCACTGCAGCACCAGTGAGTCTAGTTCACCGAGGACTCCGCGTTATAAATCCAGTAAATTCAGTCTGGAATCGGGACGTAGTTCTCTTCATTCAAGCCAAGAAAGTTTTGAATCGCACTTCAGTAAGAATCGTAGCTCCGAACACATTTCGACGAAGAGCTCTGGTGACATCATTGATCACGTGCGCAATGGTAAAAGAGTTACTCGGAGTTGTTCAAGTATAGACGATAAATTTACGAACACGTGCGAATGGATAAAATATTCTTCGAACGTAGATGAAAGAAATGATGAACGTCAAGTCAGGAAAGACAATGTTAATATCTTAGGCGTGAATCGTGGTTTTGTAAAAAGTTACCATAGGAATGATACATCGGACAGTAGTGTCATTCCGATCTGCGAACCCAGCATCAATGAACAAACCTATATCCGTAGCTTTTATAATACGGACCAAAGTTTAAGAAACAGATCCACAATTAATGTTGTCGATCATGTGTGTTCAGAAAGTTTTACCGGAAGTGAACCGGGTGGTGTCCGTAACCTTAGACACACCGATTTGCGTTCGAATCCCGTTAAACGTAATGATCCAAGGTTGGAATTTATTGCAAACGCCCATTTAGCACTAAAACCTGAACTGAACCAACGCCTTGTGGTCTCGCGCTATCCCCGTTTCCGCACAGAGGGAGATCGTGAGTTAGGACTCAGAAGATGGCGTTCAGACATCCTTCCATTAGCCGATGATATGGATGAACCTTTTATTGGCCGCCATGAAAATTGCTTCAGCCAAACAAGCAGTGTGCTCAATCCAAACCAGGAGAATCTTTTTATATCAGAGATTAATTTCGAAAAATTAAATATAAGCGATTCTGTCATCGGTGACAAAGAAACAGGAAATTCCAAGGGTCACTTCGGAACCAATGGATACAACAATGATCGGGTCAACAAGAGACGAAACCAACTAGAAGAATCAAGAAAACAGACAATTTCTTCAGGTCGAGGAAAATCATCAATAGATCGTCTTAACTCGGACAGCTTGAGATTTAATAGGTTGAGAATTCGATCAAAGCGGTGTCGATGTCGATGGCAGAGAAGATCAACATTGGGTAAAAGTAGAGATCGAAGCACTGATTCTGGAAAAGAAACAAACTACGAGATGCGGAGAGATGGAATAAATGACAGGTTTATGAAAGATGATTTTGGAGGTAAGTGCATGCATGTTTATCTCTGCTCCGTTTATGTAAAATTCAAACTTCTTTCCAAAGACGGGGTGTGGTGGGGCGAATGGTTTAATGCGTGTGGTATGGGTCATAAGGTCTGTCATTGAGTCACGTGGCGTGGTTTCGATTCCCTGCTTGTACGTGACAAGGAGTAGGATCGCCTGTCCTCTTGGGTTTTCTCCGGATCTTCCGGTTTCCTCCCGCGTTTAACCCCATCTCTCTCTCTCTCTCTCTCTCTCGTTCTCTCTCTCTCTCTCTACCTCTCTTTCCAGAATTTGAAGACATGTATAACGGAGATTGGATAAGATACCATGTGAATAATATTTCCCAATGCCATCTCTTGACTGTCTCATAGTCAAGTCTGTGTGGGTTTTTATTTCACATTAAAAAAAAAACAATATTATAGAAAAAATGAAATGGGGTTTAACGTCCTACTGTTCTGCTTCGACTGAGCTAATGAAGACGGGCATACGCCATGCAGCGTGCTATGAGGAAAATATTGCCCGGACAGCGGCACTACAGTCTACATGTTTATCGAATTCCAACTACCAAGGGATCTTTTATGTGCACGCAAATGTGTACAAGGGACCATGGTGTTTCGTCCCATCCGAACAACAAGACAGCTCTCCTTGTCCTACCCCCTTTCTGCACCACTGACAAGGGGAAAACACGCCGGAAACTATAGAAATGTTTGGAACAAGAAGTTTGAATTTTATGATACGCTTTTAAGTTTACAATGTATAAATAATATCACAATATGTATTATAAAATATTGCACATAATAACACAACATACACAATATATTGCAGAACATGTGTATACATGTATACTCTTCAAAAAGAGTAGGGGATATTCAAATGCAAATACCTATGCAGGTTGTGATATGATAGTCATGGACACTTGACATACTTTGAGAGTATGTTCACAGATGAAGAACTTATCGCCCCAGCAGAACCACTGTGCTACACATGCGACACGCAATAGCGCCATACCCGTGGGAGGGGTTCATCGTCAAATTTGACAGTTCAATGAAGGGTTGATAAAAACTGCCGCGTGCTGGTTTATCTATCCATATTTGCTTTGCTATCAGTTCTTGTATAAGATTTACTGTTTAGCGTATCTTTGCTTCAGTGTGTTACGTTTAATTTGATCGGGAGACGTGTTCGTCGACGTCAATGTCAACCGACAATACTGCAAGAATTGGCCGTGGCACTGCAAGAGGAGTGGGTCAGATTGCCCCAAATCGTGATTGGACGGTTGATTAGGAGCATGCCACGACGAATTGCTGAATGCCCGAGGATTCGTGGAGCAATTACTCATTATTAAGACAAAAATCAGAAACGTCCATTTTCACTTTTGAGTCAAAAGTTTTGACAGTGTATCTCTTTGCGAGTGAAATGGGGCCGTCAGATAAGCCGCCCATATGAAGTGTTTATGTTCATGTGTAGGCACTTGGCCTATTATTAACATACACTGGTTACCTCTAATAAAAACAGCAGTGCATTTCCGCAGTCTTGTATTGTTTCTGAATATCCCCTACTTTTGTGAAGAGTATATTACAAATATCACCATATATTACAAATGCCACCATATGTATTACACAATATTACAATATATATTACAAGATATTACAAATAATCCATAACATAACCATACATGTATCTATTACAAATATATTACCAATATCCCCATATGTTTTACAAAAATCACCATATGTATTACAAAAATCACCATATTAATTACAAAAATCACAAAATATTACCATATATTACAAAATATAACCATATGTATAACAAAATAAGACCACATATTACAAAATATCACCATATATCACCATATACAAAATATCACCATATACTACAAAATAACACCATGATATTACAAAATATTGCCATATATTACAAAATATCCCTTGATATTACAAAAATCACCATATAATACAAATAATACCATATATTACAACATCACCATATTCCAATATAGCATACAATTTGTAATAAATTTTAAAACACAACATTTTCCCATCTGATTTGTAATTCAAGTTATAATAAGATTTATCACGAAAAGATTATGTTACAATTTAGGCAAAGAAGAGGAGGGCTACGCCTGTTCCTCAAATTCATTCAAATATGTTGAATAGTGTTTGTAAACATAAATGGAGTTATTTCCCTTTCATTATCGGTGTATAAAGCCCACATGAAGAATGAACAGTTTTAATAGTGGGGATCCTTTGAAAGGGACAATAACGCTTTAGTCTCAAATCACCGACGAACAAAGACTTATTTTTACACCAATTATAACCATGCTGATGACGATGCCGATGGTGACGATGATTAATTATAACCATGAACATTTCCTCTTCTGAATCTTCTAAATGCAATTAAAGCAACGCTGTAATACGATCAATTCTGCTTCATGAGATGCAATGACAGCAGTTGTGTAACACTTTAAAGGGGCTAAGTCTTTAACTCAATAGCATCCACAGTCTTCGACATTGCAAACACGACTTATTGGTCAACTTAAATCAACACTGATGTTCTGATTTTACCGTGAAAAGTTTGGCTTCTGATATCCTATTTTTAAAATACAATAAAAAAAATTAAAATTGGTACACGCATCGTGTACTGGAATAATCGTAGACTGGAATAACTAGACACCAAAGACTGTCATTTAATTCATACTATTCGCGTATTTCGCCGAACATAACTGAATAGACATTACGTTAAAAGCAGAAACGATTGAGTGTAAATCAGTTTATATATATTCATTATACATTATTATATGCGTTGCGACCCATTTGTGTCCATTTCTAGCAATTTAGCCAAAGAATAGCAATTTAGCTCCTTTAGCATAAAACATTTTATCCGGAGACCAACAAAAATGTGTTTTATGCACCCCGGTATCTTTTCTTGTAGTCGTATTTCGTAACACATTTTACGAACATATAAATTTTACCAAAATACTAAACCATATGTGTGAGTGTGACTAGTTCTAGTCGGATTCTGTCAATCTCGGCTCACGCCGGCCATTAGTCAGTCTGAATTCGGTTCCTAAGCTGCCGATTTCTCGACAATTATGCATCGGTTCGTGGCGTGAGTTACATATTAATGATCCTTAGAATATTTTCCACATCTTGCCTTCAAATTTCAGTCGAAAAAAGCCGATTTGCTGATTTCCCCAAACAGAAACGAACGGTAAACGTCTCTCTGAGGGGTTAAGATTGTCACATTGCGCGCTAAAAATAGTCCCCGGTAAATCAGCAAATCGGCTGTTTTCGAATGAACTTTTGATATCAAGATGTAGAAAATGTTCCAAGGGTCATTAATATGTAATTCATGCGACGAACCAATGGCTAATTGTCGAGAAATCCAGCTAATAACCGGCCACTGAGCGAGGAGCTTAGGCACCGAATTCAGACTGATTAATGGTCGGCGTGATTCCCCAGAGAGAAACGAACGGTAAACTTCTCTCTGGAAGCCGAGACTGGGATTCTGTTTCTCAACTGTTTCGGATTATCTCATGGATGTTTGACTCAGGTTTTCGATAGCCACATTAACTACTTTAATAAAGTCTCTTTTGTGCATAGCATGATATAATATGAACTCGAGATCGCGTTTTACGGCTCATTTATTACACATTAAAAACAACAATGTCAAAAACTATTTCTCTTTGTCTAGGAAACTACACAAATTGCTTTAAGTAACCATTTAAGGACAAAGCATCTTTTATTAGTGTCTGTTGAAGATTAATACTATTTTAAAGCGTGTCTGAAGACACTGATGTCCCTTTTTAAATAATGAAGTCAAGTGTTTGTCAAGAATCCATTTTGTTACATTATCTCGATTTGTCTTTCGTTTTATAAACATTTCTCATAATTTATTACTTACATTATTTGGTCGGACATATATATTTTTATATATTGCTATCTCTATGTACGTGCGGTATTAGGAGGACTGGGTGACCGAATAGTTTCACGCGTGCGCGTTAGATCACAAGGTCTGAAAATGTGTGGTTTCAATTCCCCGCTTATACGTGACAAACTTTTCTCCAGGTCTCTGATTTCCTCTCACAGCTCAAGAAAACTACGCGCAAGCGAATTATTGAAATCAAATTCAACCATATGTTAGTCCCGAAATGACCTAATTTATGCCGAGTTAACGTTTACTACCTTTTAAGAAGAAGCGCATCTCTCTCTCTCTCTCTCTCTCTCTCTTGTCCGTATGTGCTATTAGCTTACAATATTATGTCCTATATAAAATGTCTGAACTGGACAGTAGAATCACAAATCATTAATATTGAACCATTTGGTCTTCCATAGAAAACAGCAATATAAAATTGATAGAACGTTTTATTTCCCATACATCCTGCTTTAATTCAATTAAATTTATGTTATTAGATTTTTTTATGGTGAATAGGAGACGTTAATTCTCACGTTCTATTTAAATAAATAGCATTGTTAGGTTTATTACAAGCAACTCAAAAACATAATCACCGTGCAAATATAGAATTGAAATAAGAACTTAAAGTTAATTTTGAAAGCTTTGAGGGTGGTTCCTTTAAAAATAAAACTAAGAATATGTAAAAGAAAAATTTGAAAAGGAAATAATAAATAATTTTTTTATTTTTCTTTTATTTACAGAAATGGATTGTAAATAAACACAAAGGCGACTAAATACTAGAAAAACCTTTTCTTTTTTTTCTTTTTTTTTATTTGTTTCTCAGGTAAAAAAATTTAAAAAAATTATGAAAGAAGTGTAAATACACATATACGTTAATAATGTGAATAAGATTTCTTTGACAGAGTAAATAGAAAATATGGTTGAATAAAAAAATAGAAAGCACGCAATAAGAAGACAATTTCAAGTAGTTTTCTATGAATGGGGGAGAAAAGATCGACACGAGAAATAGATTTAGAAGGAAAATAGTTTCGTATAAAACGTACTCGACTTCATTGAAAGTTAATCACAGGGTTGAAGCTGTGAACG